TCCATTTTTGCCCATGTTTTGTGCTGTTCCTCCTGCTCTATTGCAAACGAGTCATACATCTGGGTGTCGTCAGCGTACAAGTGATTGTTCACTTTCTCTTCCACAAGGAGCTGACCCAAGTGCTTCGTGTAGAGGGTGAGCAAGATGGGCCCCAGGACAGACACCTGGGGTACGTCACAGGATAGAGGAACTCTTTGTGAGTGGACAGTCTTCACAACAACTGACTGGTTCCTGTCTGACAGATATGAGGCAAACCATGCCAGAGCTGTGTCATGCACTCCAAAATCAGTCTTTAGCCTGGATAACAACTTCTGGTGGTCAATTGTGTCAAAGGCTGACGATAAATCCAGCAACATGAGAAGAGATACTTTTCTAGAATCCGCTGCCATGCACAGATCTTTTACCACTCGGACAAGAGCTGTCTCAGTGCTATGCCTCTGTCTGTATGCTGATTGGAATTCATATAACAAATGTTCCTGTTCTAAATGCTCTAAAAGACGGATCTTCATCTTCAAATGGCAGATTAGAGACTGGCCTGTAATATCGCAGGGTGTTGGCATCAAGAAACGGCTTCTTAAGAAGTGGTTTTATCACAGCAGTTTTGAACTGAGATGGAACTGTTCCTGTTTGGAGGCTAGAGTTGATAATCCCAGTGAACATCGGACAGAGTACATCCATAAACTCCAGAAGAAACTTTGTAGGAGCAGGATCTACAGTCAAACACAAGTTTGAGAATCTCTTGCTCAGAGAAAGGTTTGAATGTTTGTAGGACAGTTCCACCGTACTCTGGAAACACATTCAGAGATGGAGCATTAGCAGTTTTGCCCAAGAGGTTGCTGTGAATGTTATCTATCTTCGCAGTGAAGTAAGAGCAAAATTCCTCTGCCAACTCCTTGTGATCAGTTTGAATGATTTGTTTGTTTTGAGTTGGATGAGAGGTGCCTGTGTTTACCATCAGCTTTAATTTGGCATTTAGCAAGTTGTTGGTGGCATAAATGGCTTCTCCCTAACAATATCAATTTCCCTACCAAAGTCATTTAATTTCCTATTCAGGGCTGCCCTCGAAAGGTTTGGGCAAGGTGTTTGTTAACAAATCAAATGCTCATTTGTACCTTGAAACATATTTACACCCCATCGTGTATTGCGTTGGTGGATTAAAAAAAATCATTTTTACATTGTACATTTCAAAATTGTTTGTAAAATTACATGTGTTCTTGGCCATTTTCATAATATACATTTAGAAGGAAAAATAGTTTGTTTTGTTTGTCTTTACCTTTATCTGTATCAGCCACATAACTGCTAGACTGTCCACTCTAGGTGTCTCCCTCAATAAGCTCCAGTAGAAGAGGATTTGCATCCTCATCAAATTCTTCCAGTAACTCCCTGTTACAATCACATTTAAATGGTGATAAATTTAATACAAATTTACAATAGATCATATCTAAAGCTGTGTTTTCCTACATTGTCCCTGCCAGTACACAGTCTTGGCAGCTATCTGCAGATGTTGTCGTATTTTATAATGGAAATACAACAAGGAACACAAATTTGATGTCTCATTACTCTTTTGTTATCTGCATTAGTCAGTGAAATTTATCAGAAAATGGTAAAAATTCATGCATGAAATGTGTCAAATCTTGAGGGTCCAGATGAGGGGTTCCCTGTTCAATGTTCTATTATTAGATTCTATTATAAACTTACCCTTGCCAAGGCAAAGGTCACCGGGGAAACACCTCTCAAAAGTAGTTTTGTCCCTTTCTGATTTTCTGCAGTTATCAAATAATAACATTCACAATGAGAATCGCGAAAAATAGTGAGTGAGTTTAGTTTTACACCGCACTCAGCAATATTCCAGCTATATGGCGGCGGTCTGTAAATAACCGAGTCGGGACCAAACAATCCAGTGATGAACAGCATGATCATCAATCTGCACAATTGGGAACCCGATGACACATGTCAACCAAGTCAGCGAGTTTTACCACCCGATCCTGTTAGTCGCCTCTTACGAGGCAAGCATGGGTTGCTGAAGACCTATTCTACCCCGGATCTTCACGGGTCCGCGAAAAATAGGATAACAGACACACTTTGAAATTATTTATAATTATCATGCAAGTTAACTTTGGATATATTTTGTTAACTTTGATATTATGATTATCATGTACATTATATCCTTAACCATATGCATTCGACAGGCCTAGTTCAAACAGAGACAGAGTTGAAGCATGCAAACTTTTAGGAATCGTCAGACTTATTTTCACTGCTCTTTCTCATGACTACCCCAAAACAGATGTATCATACTTGACTAGGGCCGATTCTGAAAAAAAGGCTCAAATAAAAGATGTTGAGGCATTTTTTAGTCGGGTTTAAACAAATTAGAAAATAGATATACAGTCACAGGTGATGACATACCGTGCACACCTAACCACTGCTTGCGGTGACTATGGTGGCCATTTTGTTTTTCAAATTTGAGGCCCCAAAACATTTTTCAGCTTGGAATCCTATTTAATTAATGATCAGCATTCTTTAAATGTCATAAAAGGTCAAGTTTCCAAAATTTACAAAATAGAGATACAGTCACAGGCAAAAATACTGTGCACACCTACCACTATTTTAGGTGATTTTGGTGGCCATTTTGTTTTTTAATTTTGAGGGTCAAAAACACTTTTTTCAGCTTGGTATCCTATTTTTTCATGATCAGCACCCTTTAAATGGGTAAAATAGCCTGGATACCTAATCCTACTAAAAACTGCCTCTTGAATTACTTTTATCCACAATCGGTCCTAGTCTATATATCTTAAACAGTGCCCCAATTCCACTAAAATCTAAAGAAAGCCGACATGTAATTTTGTAAATTAAAAAACTGGTGATAGACAGTTGAGACTTGACAGTAAAGTTATTTAACTTCCTGTTTACTTTCTTTGATAGGCAAATGAAACATCTAGCATAGCTAAATACTATGGTTGGTTAACTGGGTTATCAGTAATGAAAATTTCATACTGATTGTCGTTTAAGGTATGTGTTCCATTTGCAGTGACAGTCACATACATTTCAAGATGAACAATCAATTGGATATATTTTATGTATTCCTGACATGTGCTGTTTAAATCTATAGTAGGGGTAGTGACATGTTGCTAAATGCAAAAGAATCCACAATAAAGGAAGACCGGAAAACACAGAGCACATGTGCGCCCTTTTATTGAGAATGACTGTCTAGCCAGTGTAGAAAACTTCTACCAAGCATACTGAATATAACTAAATGTCTAGTTGGGAATATTCAGTAATATCTGTATTTGATACAAATGGAAGTTCCTAGAAGTATGATCCTTTAATGAAAATTTATACTTCAAATTGAATCACAAAATGTAAGTATTGTTAAGTAAAGATAGTCACATGACTGTTAATAATTGTCAGTGAATACAGGCCATTCAATGGTGAAGGAATCTCAAAACTTGCACTGTGCACTTTTGGAGAAATATCCATTTTACTAGTGACAAGCATCATTATTTTCTTTTGATCTCCCGGTTACAATCCATGTAAGGATCAGGAAACAGGTCTTTGTGATTTGGTATGTTTGGAAGTGTGTGAATCTAAAAACCAGGGCCTAGATTTTCAAAGGTATCCTAGCGCTAAGATAGTTGTAAGTGCCATACATTATGACTATCTTAGCGCTAAGAGAGCTTTGAAAGTCTAGGCCCAGGTCATTACCTGTGTAAATAATACATGTGCAAATAGTTTTCTTGCAGTTTGTGCTGGTAATGTATGTTCACATCACATGCGCTGCTAATATACAATAAATATACGTCAACTGGCTGCCAAGCTAATTCATATTATAAATATGTGATGGAAACTCATTTCAGATGTTTATTCTGTTCCAAGTGGTGGGGTAAAAGAAAGGAAGCTACAAGTGGTTTTGAAAAGAAGCTGTATGAGTACTCACCAGTGTCACCGGATCGCCTGTACCTTACTGATCTTATGACACTGATGATAAAGGACATTTTGTACATTTTGACGATGAATCATGCCCTGATAGAACAGGGCCAGGGCATGGAATCTCTTCTCCAGTGGAACATGGAATTACGATTAATGTGAAGCAATTCACCCATGTGACGAGTTGATTGCTCACTGTCTCTTGATGATGTTTTCTCTGATCTTCCAGTTCAACCTTTCATCTATCTAGCTGTCCTGGTTATGGAAGGACACTCATCAATTTCACTCAGTGGACTTTGGACATATCTCGCCACATGGTGCTGATGATTTGCACTCTGTTAATTCGGCTATCTGGCATTGTTTAGATAAAAATCACTCTGCAGTTATCCTAGAGCTCCTGTTAGTGCTCCTGTTAGTGCTCAACTGGCAGCGGTGTCGGATATCGACTTACCTCCAATATTGTCTTGGCTCTATCACTTCTGTGCCTCTATAACATTTGTGCTTCTAAGGGCATTGCAGATCAGTTGTCATGGGATATTCATTGTTTAAAACCCAGATGATGCACTAGCCCTGGTCAGGATCTGCTCTCTAAGATAATGACATCCCTCATGTGGTGAAGGAAGCCAAGACAATTTTATCTCCTGAGTAACATGGATCTGCAGTCTCTCAAAGAAAGTCTTATGTTGGGAAACAGCCTTAATCGGAAAGGCTTCTCCTTACACTCACAGCACTAGTCTCCAAGACAACAAGTTGCCCAAGACCCACTGCTGAGGAAGTCACACTTTACAGATGTCAGACTACTCGCATCTCCCTCTGGAATCACCTGTATGTTGAAGACTTGTATGAGAAGAACCGTACTTACTGGAATATAATTGTGGAAATCTATGAAACTATCATGGTATATTATACATACCAAAGACAATAGTATTATTTCTAGGTCCCCAAGTCCTTTTAAACTACACAAGTTATGCATTAGGGTATGGTGGAACGCTTTGAGATAATTCGCTGAAAGCATGAACTAGCAAAATTAATTGTTTTGGCTTGATAGTCACAAGAACTTATGTGATATTTTTCAGATGCTGTGAAGTGCAAATTGTTGTCACTATGGAATGGCAGGATGTTTGGCCGTTTGGTATCCTTGGCATCACTCTCCATCATGAAAGAGGTGCAGTACAACAGTGCTGGTATTGTAGGGCAACTGGCTTTACATGGTAAGTATGATACCATAGTGCTGGTATTGTAGGTCAACTGGCTTTACATAGTAAGTATGATACCATAGTGCTGATTTTGTAGGTCAACTGGCTTTACATGGTAAGTATGATACCATAGTGCTGATTTTGTAGGTCAACTGGCTTTACATGGTAAGTATGATACCATAGTGCTGGTATTGTAGGTCAACTGGCTTTACATGGTAAGTATGATACCATAGTGCTGGTATTGTAGGTCAACTGGCTTTACATGGTAAGTATGATACCATAGTGCTGGCATTGTAGGTCAACTGGCTTTACATGGTAAGTATGATACCATAGTGCTGATTTTGTAGGTCAACTGGCTTTACATGGTAAGTATGATACCACAGTGCTGGTATTGTAGGTCAACTGGCTTTACATGGTAAGTATGATACCATAGTGCTGGTATTGTAGGTCAACTGGCTTTACATGGTAAGTATGATACCATAGTTCTGATTTTGAAGGAGGGGATAGATGTTGCGCCACGGATCCAGTGTGGTCCATCAGAACGTATAGTATCGATCGGGCTGATATCAAAGAAGGCCTACCCTATTTGTATTACCTGAAGGAATTACTAATCGTACCTCTCGACACAGTGTTACCTCCAATGAAGAAATAAACATTAAAACAATATGTGGGACATCAAACTATGGTCGACATCGTTTTCTATATTTTTTTACCATTGGTGGAGAATTATTTGACGTAAATAGTGTCATAGGAGGAAGTGATGCAGTAGCACCATCACGTATACTACTATTGCAAACATGTTTTTGGCTTTACCAAGGATATTGTACTTATCTGTGTATATATCTCTCTGACTGGGTATCATACAGTTAACTTCTCTTGTGCACTCGATAAGTTTGAGTGAGTGAGTGTGAGTGAGTTTAGTTGTACTCCGCTCTTAGCAATATTCCAGCAATATCACAGTGGGGGACACCAGAAATGGGCTTCACACATTGTACCCATGTGGGGAATCGAACCAAGGTCCTTTGCATGACGAGTGTACGCTTTAACCACAAGGCTACCCCACCGCCCCTGATAAGCTTGAGGAATTCCTATTTGAAAATAACTCTTCCTTTAGTAACTGTGTAATTCCTTTAGTAATTGCTTCTTTGTGGCGATATGAATGCTAGGATTGCAACTGAGAATAATCCTTGTATACGTGAGGCTGCTGACATGATTGGTTCTCCCTGTATTGATGGGGATTATGATCCTGTCAGCAAGAGGAATTCCAGCAATGGTGTGATAAACGCTTTTGGTCGAAAATTGTTAAATATATGCTGCACATATGGACTTTTGTTGCTAAGGAGAGTACTGCTATGGTGAATTTTATTTTACTTTAAAGCCTGCTTAATGGACAAAGCTAATGCCCTTTTCCATAGTTTAACTGAATATGTTGACATTAATCTAGATGATGCTGTCAGTTCGTAAGTCATATACTGGATGCAGCCAAATGCATGAAAAGACATGCAGTTAGATGCAAGATGTTAAGACGCCAACCTTTAAATGGCGAGTATAGGTCCACAAAGTGTGAGGCAAGGAAGCGCTTAGGAAATTTAGACCCACATCAAACGACTGCAATAGAAAGACTTTTTGTACTTTGAGAAATAAATACAAAGAATCATGCAGAAAATATAAGAGAAAAAACAAGAGATCTCTGACTGAAAACATTAAGCACTTTCATTCAACATTCTGGTAAATTTTGGCGGGAGATTCGTTCCTTGAAAAGTAAAGATAATGTGGCTTGTAATATAACAACAGACTAGTGGTTGTCACACTTCCGTTCTGTGTTTTCACATTTTTATGAAGATTCTGATTGTAATGATACAACTAGGTTGCTGGATACTAAGGCTAGTTTGGAGACCAGTGGTTATACAGAGATTGATGCCGAAATCCTTGATTCAGTAATAACAGAAACCGAAATTGTCGATGCCACAGAAAATCTTTAAAAGCGGAAAATAACCTGGTCCACACAAGATTTTAGTGGAGATAAGAAAATCTTCCAAAGACCTTATATTTTCATTGTTGCATAAATGTTTAACTATGTTTTTACTACTGGAAATGTTCCTAGGCACAGTCTATTATAGTGCCTCTACATAAGGGGGGTGACATCAATAACCCTGATAATTACAGAGGCATATTTGGGACTAGTAGTATTGGTAAATTGTTTACATCTATCCTCAACAAAAGATTAAACATGTGGGCAAATATTAGAGATAAAATCCCTGAAACACAAGCTGGCTTAGGGAAAGGTTATTCTACATCTGACCATATTTTTACATTGTATGCAATTGAGCAAAAGTACTTAATAAGAAGAAAACATAAATTATGTGTAGCATTTATCGACTTTAAGAAAGCCTTTGACTCAGTAAATTGACAAAAATTATGGTTATGTTTAAGATGGGCGGGATTAGATGGCAAATGTTACTTATGTTACAAGGTATTTATGCCAGCATAAAGGCTTGTGTACCTAGCAATGGGGATTCACTGACTATTTTGAGTGCCCATTGGGTGTGAAGCAAGGATGTTTGTTGAGTAGTATTCTTTTTTCCTTCTTCATTAGTGAATTAGAAAATGAAATAATTGATAAAGGCAAACATGGTGTACAACTATACCCTGATATTTTTGAGATTTTAATGTTACTGTTTGCTGACGACGTGATCTCAGTGGTAGGTTTACAGAACCAATTGGACATTTTGGAGAACTACTCGAAAGAATGGAAATTAGATGTTAACCTTGATAAGTCATATATTGTTGTATTTGGAAGGGGTGCACAACTCGCTAATGGCAAAAAATGGTCTTATAATGGCATTTCAATGCAAATAGTTTCTGAATAGAAATATCTTGGAGTACTTTTTGATTATACATTGAATATGGGTGAAACTGCTGTTGCCTTATCAGCAAAAGGAAAACAAGCTCTAGCCTAATTACTTTCATCACTCTACCCATTATCACTGATGATGTTTTTTTAAACTTTTGGATGCAGATTCAACCAATGCTTTTGTATGGGGCCGAAATATGAGGTTTTCAGACTTTGGAACTGATTGGAAAAAATACATTTATTGGCATGTAAGAAGTTCCTTAATGTTAACATTACAACACCAAACTATATGGGACCCGTGAAGATCCGGGTTAGAATTGGTCTTCAGTAACCCATGCTTGTCATAAGAGGCGACTAACAGGATCGGGTGGTCACACTTGCTGACTGGGTTGACACATGTCATTGTATCCCAGTTGTGTAGATCGATGCTCATGCTGTTGATCCCTGGATTGTCTTATCCAGATTCGATTATTTACAGACCACCGCCATATAGCTGGAATATTGCTGAGTTCTGCGTAAAACTAAACTCACTCACTCACCCAAACTATATGGTGTGTGGAGAATGTGGAAGATACACACTTTATATAAACTCTCACCTATGTTGCATAAAATACTGGTTCAAAATAATGAGAATGCATGAACAGCGTCTACCTAAAAAATCTTACAACATGCTGCTTAAGTTAGATAATCTTGGTTATGTAACATAGGCATCAAATATAAGATATCTGTTATTTTCGTATGGATTTGTGGATTTTCCAAGGTGTTGGTAATGAGTGGCTGTTTGTGAACAAACTTCGTCAAAGAGCTGTTGATATGTTTTGTTAGAATTGGATGAATACCCTCCGTTTAAGCTCTAGATTTGATTAATATATAAATAGATCCTTTAAAACAATGATCAAACCTGAGAGATATCTATCAAATATTACAAGCAAGACACTTAGAAATAGTTATTAGATTTAGTTTGGTTTGACAGATATAATGATCAATAACTGGCCGTAAAACAAACATCTAAGATTTTGCCCTGCTTGTATGGCGGATACCGAAGATGAATATCATCTGTTATTTATATGTGATGCTTATGCCGATTTAAGAAAAGAGTATATTCCACAGAAATATTTGGGTCACACTGCAAGGGAAATTTTATCATCAGAAGACAAATCTATTCATGTAAAATTAGCCCTGTTTTTAACACATTCACTGTCATTAAGGAAGAGTCTGATTTCTCCTGTCAACAAATTCTACGATGTTATGATGCTTTCCACTATTCCCACTGTCCATACTTTGCCTGTCATTACAACAGTATGTGTATGGACCAGAGGCCTTATGTACAATAAACCATCTTGATCTTTAATCAGAGTAATGTCCCTTGATCTAAATTGTGAAAACATACACACAGAGCTTCAATCAATTGACAATGTTGGTACCTTTATTGTATCATCTGTGGTTTTGGATAACAATTGACAGGTAACTTATGACTTGATATATACATTATGAAAGTGATAAAATAAGGGAATAACTTATTTTCATGTTCATTCTTCCACTTGCATGGTCCCCATCATCATGGTGAAATTTTGTGTGTTCATATGAAAAGGTGAAGTAGTATATATAATGATAGTCCGAGATCAAGTCCAACAAAAGCCTCTGCAAAGCCTTATTTCACAAATAAAGCTTTTGTCAGGCCCTTAGATCTCGCCACCATTGTATCTACTACTTTTGACGTGCACTATGACGTGTTGACAGGGGGTAAAATTGTGCCGTACGGTATGACTAATAATTCTTCTCTAACAAACCCTCTCCCTGGCCCATCTCTCAAGTAGTACAAGTTCGGCTCGTCGGCTTTGATGTCCACTTTATCTATGTTGTAAGTTTTGACTGACCATATAGGATCGGTGGCTCGCTTACGACTATCACCCTCGTGTTCACCCGGCTGGTAGAGGTACCTCACTAGGGCCCTATCTGGTATCTGTTTCTCTTTCCCACGCAATGGCGCAGCCGACTCTGACACTATTGATTTTAGCTTGATAGCGTCGGCTGGTTTCTTGCCGGTGAGGCGGGTGATTTCGTGGTTGATGGCTGACACCACCTGAGGTAACCGCGCTACCCATTCAGTCGATCGCTTCCCCGGGTTGGTCATCTCTCTCGCATACTGATGTCCGAATAA